GGCATGCTTTGGCAGTCGAGTGCGGGGATTTGATGAAGCCCTTTCAAGGATACAGTAGGACGGTTCATCGTGTGATTATCAGCGGAATTCGAGCGCTTGGGCAATCGCGTACGAGTTGGACGTAGAAGCTCTTGTGGGAACATTTATGGGTGGCTTAAAAACGAACATTTCAGATGGTATCCAAATGTTTAGCCTCGGACATAAAGGAGGCTATCACTTCGCGTAAATGAAAAATGATCAACTATCGAGACAAGGGACGTGTGTACATCCTCCACCACTAGTGAAAGCCCCGTTAGCTCTTCCGCCAGCAACTCGGCAGCACCAGCCGCATGCAGCTCCTGTTCGACGACTGACTTGGGATGAAATGCAGCGGAGGCGAGCTCAAGTTCTATGTTTTAATTGTAATGAGTATTTTATTGCAGGTCACTGTGTCAAGGGCCATGACTACTATGCTGGAAGGACACGATGGCAAAGGCAACATTATTTGTGAAGAAGTCACCAGAGAGCAACCAATTCAGGGGGATGTGTCGTTCGAAATCGGCAATATGGTACTTTTGAAGCTGCACTGATACCAGCAGCAACACCTTTAAACAGGTCTAATTCCACCAGAAAATGGCTAGACGAAAAAGCTCCTGGAAATATTTCCAACTGTGGACCTTGAGGACAAGATCCACTGATTGGGCGGGGGGAGTGGGAATTTTTTCTTGCTGGCTGCCCTGCCACACCTCTCTCAAGCTTTTCAGTGTATTTGTAACTTGTAAGTATTTATCATCCTAGTCTCTTGTTACGGTATCTGGGTTTTGCTTCATCTTCTATTTCTATTATACTTTTTATTTGTTTTTTTTTTTAACGTATTTTCTCATGATATTATTGTAAAGAATGCTATTTTGATGTTTTTGATGGAACCCAGATCGTGTTATCGCTTGACCGAGCTGAATTAGGTGCTAGTTTTAGAGAAAACAGGAAGAAGAATCTCAAGAGGTGAATGGGAGAGCATAGGTAATAGGAGCTTCTAGTCTGTGTATTTGTTGTATATAAAGTTCTTACATTCTTATTGTTTGATTTGGGCATCTGGGTACTTGAATTTAAGTCAAACGATGTTATTTCTTGTTCTTGAACTCTGTACACTTGAAGAAAAATCTCCAATTTATTAGAGAATTACGTTTCGTAACCGGTGTTAATACGTTGACGCTTCGATGTGGTGCTACTGGGGTTTGTTTTCTGGTGTTAATATTCGCATAATTGGGTTTGTTAATTCTCTGGATTGAAATTGATTTTGTGCATCTGGGTTTTCGTTATTTGTGATGTGGAGGTTCTTGTCTCTCTCATGGGCTGGCTTCTACTTTGAAGTTGCCTGTGGTCACGGCTGGGTTTAAGCGACTAGTTTTTCTTAGGGTGTATAAATTTTGAGCTATGATCAAGCAGATACTTGGTAGGCTTCCACGGAAGCCAGCCAAGGCATCTGAGAGTCGTGAATTTGGGGGTCCTTCTGCCCCTTCTTTAAATGCTTCTGCCAGTTCTAGAAGCAGTGATCTTGTGAGTGATAGGCCGATAGATTTGGACCATATGACTATTTCGGGTACCAATTCTGCTGTCAATTTTGGGTACAGTCAGGAAAATAAATTTCCCCGAGTTGGAAATCTGAAACTGAATGGCAATGCAGTTGTTACTCCCTATGAAGCACTACCAGGATTCAGGGATGTTCAGAGCTCTGAGAAGCAAAACTTGCTAATTAGGAAACTGAACTTGTGCTGTGTTGTGTTTGACTTCACTGATCCAACCAAGAACTTGAAAGAAAAGGACATCAAGCGGCAGACATTGCTTGAGCTTGTGGATTATATTACTTCTGCAAATGGGAAATTCACAGAGACTGTCATGCATGAAGTTATAAAGATGGTATCAGTTAATTTGTTTAGGTCTCTTGCACCTCAACCTCGAGATAATAAAGTTTTAGAAGCCTTTGACCTGGAGGAGGAAGAGCCTCTGATGGACCCTGCATGGCCTCATTTGCAAATTGTGTATGAGTTTCTTCTGAGATTTGTTGCATCACCAGAAACAGATGCAAAATTGGCTAAAAGGTATGTTGATCACTCATTTGTTCTCAAGTTGTTAGACCTCTTTGATTCTGATGATCCTAGGGAGAGGGAGTATCTGAAAACTATTCTACATCGCATCTACGGAAAATTTATGGTGCATCGCCCATTTATTCGGAAATCCATCAATAATATTTTCTTTCGATTTATTTTTGAGACGGAGAAGCATAATGGGATTGCTGAGCTTTTAGAGGTTTTGGGTAGTATAATCAATGGTTTTGCTCTGCCGTTGAAAGAAGAACACAAATTGTTCTTGGTACGGGCTCTAATTCCCCTTCACAAACCAAAATGCCTTCCGATGTACCATCAGCCATTATCATACTGCATTACACAGTTTGTGGAGAAAGACTGCAAACTTGCAGAAACAGTTATAAGAGGTTTGTTGAAGTATTGGCCAATCACTAATAGTTCAAAGGAGGTTATGTTTCTTAATGAGCTGGAGGAAGTTCTAGAAGCAACTCAACCAGCAGAATTTCAGAGATGTATGGTACCCCTCTTTCGTCAAATTGCTCGTTGCTTGAGCAGTTCACACTTCCAGGTAATATGTCATCAAACTTCAATCTTCAAGTTCTTTACAGTTTTGTTCTGTTGCCTTAAATGCTACTTCCTGCCTTTGCACACTTTCAAACATTTATGCGTTCTACACTTGCCATATTTGTGTTACCATCTGTTGTGGTTCCTGTAGTTTTTTCTTAAAAAAAGTGGAACATGCTCTATTATTGTGTTAGTAAATGATAATTATTTTGTTTTTAAGTGGGAAGGAGTTAAATTTGTTTTTAAGGATGATTTCCTATTTTCTTGCTTTAGACTTTTCATTTGGACAATTGTACTTCATATATATTTCTATATTAAGTTGATTAAGACATGATCTTTCGTTTTTGAAATTGTTATCGTTATTGATAATCTTTTTGTCACTTTCTTGTCTCTAGTGACTATTTTGCTGAGTAAGGTTTGGTTGTAAGCCTGTGGTGGGTTGATGCTGAGCTGGGTATCAACGAACTAGAAGGGTTCATTAAACCGTTTGTTCATACATACAGTAGACTATGTTTTAATGTTGGTTCCAACTGTTTTTTAAAAAAGTTTCCTAATTACTTCCATAATCTTGGATTTGTTATCATGGTCAACCTTTTTTTCTTAAAATAACACAACCTAAATTTTTAATAATTTTGTTTGAGTCAATCAAATGTCAAAAACTTTTCACTATCCTTCCTTATACAGGCAATTTTTTCGCTGGAATCCTTATTAGATTCAGGTTCCCCAGATCAAATTGATTGGAGCACCATGCCGTTATGCCATGTTCATATATGTTCATACAAGGATCTTAGTTTTACCTCAGATGAAATGTTGATAATTTATACCACTGCTTTCCTGAATTTGATTTCAGCTACTTTATGCTTTATGCTTGTTTATCAGGTGGCAGAGAGGGCTTTATACTTGTGGAACAATGATCACATTGAGAGCTTAATCAGACAAAACCGAAAAGTCATACTGCCCATTATCTTCCCTGCCTTGGAGAAAAATGGTTGTAATCACTGGAATCAGGTGGTCCAGAGCTTGACACTCAACGTCCGCAAGATGTTCTCTGAAATTGATCCTGAGCTATTTGAGGAGTGCTTGCGCAAGTTTCAGGAGGATGAATCAAATGTGGAGGAGATCAAAACAAAACATGATGCTGTATGGAAGCGCTTGGAAGAGATTGCTGCAGAAAAAAGCTGCAACTAGTGAAGCAGTTGCTGTACCTGTATGATACCTGCCCTAACATCTTCAAGCTAGTGATAAGAGGATATTTTGTTCAGTTAAAAGATTGCAATTTTTATGGACTGGTGTGGTAACTGCAAGATGGTTGGTGTGCTTTAAGAGATCAAATGCTTGTGGTTTGATGTCCATACTCTTTGCTGCTTGTCCTTTGAACCATCAATACTCTTGATGGTCATTATTTCTCAATGCAGCAGTGCAGTCCATTTGCATGGATGCCATCTACTGCTTACTCCCCAAAGTGGAACTATTACTGTAGCCCAGATTCCCATTAGGGGGTATGAGAGTGGTTTTGGCATTGTTATAGTTGATTTTTGAGGAGTTACATGAAGGATTTAGCTACAATGACAGGTGAGTTAGGCACTTGGCCTTGATTTTGATCAGTTCTCCTGTACTTGCTGAACTGCTCAATCTCATTTCCTATGTTGTATTTGTTATATATCTGTCCATTGTTCTACAAATGAAACCTCTGGTTTGTGTGTATTCTTATTTGTACAAATTGTAATAGAAGTGAATGGGTGTTAAGTGCGGATGTCATGATTGTTCTTTGTTACTGTAGTCTGGTGATAATGTTAAAAACTAATAGGCTAATATTGTTCCATCCAGAAAACAATTTTCTTGGTGGGTACAGGTACACTGCAATGTTCATTAGGGGCCTTCGTTAGCATTTGAATTGCGACACCGGCGTGGAATAGGTCAGATTAGATGGATAATAATGAATAGTCAATTTTGATATTTGAATAAAAATTTTGCTCCCAAATTGCTACAAAACCCTCTTGTTACTATGAAAGCTCTGAACTAGCTTCTACTCCTTTTCAAATCTCTTTTCTGTTTCAAAGAAAGCAGCGATTGTACCTATATGCAGCATAGAAGGTGTAGAATCTGGACACAGGAATGAAAGTTAAATTGCCCACTTTATAAGTCACAATATATATGAGCCACGCGATTTCTTACAAGAATCTAAATTTAGCTGCCTCGTATTTCACTCAAGCTGCAATTGTACTGGACTTACATGTATGGCTTTTCGCGCAAACATTATTCTCACCAAGACTATAAAGCTACTACATACGCGTAATGACAATATTCAGCAGAAAAACCACAGCTAAATTTATCGTAAACTAACTGCAGAATAAGGTTATGGTGATGGCAACTATGGAAGTTGAGATTATATCTAGAGAAGTCATTAAGCCTTCCTCTCCAACCCCACCTCACCTGAGGCTTCACAATCTATCATTTTTTGATCAGTTCATCCCTTCCTGGTGTGTTCCTGTTCTCCTATTCTACTCCAACAAAGAGCTTGATGATCTTGCTTCATACTTCGCCACCAAAAGATTGCATTTGCTCAAAACGTCCTTATCTGAAACACTAGTCCGATACTACCCACTTGCAGGAAGTATTGGAGACTCAGAATCTATTGAGTGTAACGATGAGGGTGCTGTAATTTGGGAAGCACGAGCCAACTGTGGGCTATCTGAAATTTTGAAGCACCCAGAGAATGAGACACTGGACCAGTTGTTGCCAGACGATCTGCAGTGGACTACTAATTCAAACATCCCGTTAGTTATTCAAGTCACCTTCTTTGACTGCGGAGGAATGGCCATTGGCTTTTGCTTGTCACATAGGATATTGGACATGTCAAGCATGGGCAAATTCATCAACAACTGGGCTAACACTGCCCGTGGCACAGGTGATCATCAAAACGTTTTGCCGGATTTTAGTGCAGCGACTCTGTTCCCACGTGGTGATCTACCAGTGCCACCACCACATAAGCTTCCAGGAGGGACTGTTGTCACCAGGAGGTTTGTGTTTAGTGCCTCAAAAATAACATCTCTCAAGGCCATAGCCAGTAAAAATGTGCAAAATCCCACAACGGTTGAAGTGGTAAGTGCTCTAATCTATAAATGTGCAAGTTCTGCCTCTAGAGCAAACTTAAATTCGTTAAATCCGACTCTCTTTGTCCAATCACTGAATTTGCGTTCAAGGACGATGGACCGCCAATGCCTGAAAATTTTATGGGAAACGTAGTTTTTATATTTTCAGTATTGACAAGTGAGGAGAATAAAATAGTTTTACATAGTGTAGTTGGACAGATGAGGGAAGAATTAGCGAAATTCTTGATAGGCATGCAAAAAACTTTAAAAAGAATGGTTCTCAGCAATTTTAGAGTGTTTGAAAGATGCAAGGAAAGTATATTATTCAAACAAAAATTTAGATGTGTATACTTGTACTAGTTGGTGTTGGATTCCTGTATACCAAGTGGATTTTGGTTGGGGGAGACCGGAATGGGTAACCACTACTAGTAATGGGATGAAGAATTCTATTCTGCTGATGGATACAAGAGATGGGCTCGGGATTGAAGCACTGGTGACTTTGGAAGAACAAGACATGGCTGTATTTGAGCGTGATGATGAACTGCTTTCGTTTGCTACTGTTAATCCTGGTGCTGTGGAGGCTGCCACCACATAAGCTGTTTATGTTGATAATGGTTCCATGATTAGCGCAGGAGTTAATTACGTAGATGAACTTAGAGAATTGTAGTGAATCCAATGTACAGTTTGATATCGCCATTTCATGTATGTGTCTATATGTTAAACTAATAAAATTCTGATAACATATATGCTGACGTGGCTTATGATTTGCCACGGTGGAAGTCAGCACTTTGTTAAAGAGTCAAAGGAGCATGCGGCATCGTTTCAGTCCCGGACCAAGATGTATATCATGCCCTTTGATCCTTGAGTCTTGCAAGAGCTTCTCATCTCTCTCTCTCTTTTCCTCACACAACGCATGGCTGAAGAATCTTCTGGATTGTTGGCCATCTCACGGCTATGATGAAATCAAAAACAGGTTTAGGCTGTTTTAAAGAAGGATGATTGTGTATTTAAGTGTGACTGCTGGAGAAGAGGAGGTAGATCTCAATTGCAAAACTTAGGGTTGTCAATTTGGGTGTGTCCCTTCCTTTGTATTCTTCTTTGTTCTTTGTTCATCTATTATACATTCTTGGTGATTGAGTAATGAAAATGCCCTACTGTGATCCTTAGAGAGTAGGTGTAGGCTGCAAAGCTGAATCACTATAATCTACTGTATTCTGTGTTCTTCTTTGCTTGCTTATTTCTTTCCTTTTGGTTAATCAATTAGTTTATTAATTGTGTTTAAATAATGTATGTTAGAATTGTCTCGCTGGTTGTTCTTTGTTGTGGGCAGGGCCCCGGAGGCCATTTGAATTGATTTATTTGATATTTTATCTAAAATGTCTTGATTAACAGATAGTTGGCAGTCGTTTTCCGAGGGATATGTTTTGTTTATTTGGAAGATGGGATATGATTTAAGAAATTCAACTATTTCCAACTACTCTGTTTGCTAATCTCAATGCATCCCATTTTTTTTTTTATCGGATGTATAGTTCAATCACTTATATTTTATGGCAACGTGGGTTAGTTTTAATTACTCCATACCATTTAAAAAATGACGAATACACCCCCAAAAAATTACAAATACACCTCCAATAGTTTACAAAAATTATAGTTCAGTCCCAGTTCCTACTCAGGCACCCGGACCTCGGTTCCGGTTCCAGTTCCAAATCCGATTCTGGTTCCAGCATTGTTGGAATCAGATCCGAACCCAGGAATTCTCAGTTCCATTTTTCCAGAATTGGACTGGACCCCAATAGGGTCGATTCCGGTTCTACCCTGTACCCATGCTCACCCCTTACGCATACCATTTCATCAATTTGCTGAGGTACAAACTAGGAGATTATTATAGTAAAATGTTAACTACAACATGAATCACAATTCTAAGACTGGATCTTATGCACATCATGTCCACTAAAAACCATGCAACCATGCTGAATTAAGTGAAACATAGTCATAATGGGTTGCCCGGGACTCGAAATCGGAACTAGTCAGATGGAGTAGAAATATTCTTTATTCAATAGTCAATTTAAATTAAGTAAAAAAAAAACCTCCCTAAGCCGTGCCTGCATTTTTCATTGCAAGTAATATTAGGTTCACAATCTAATCTCACAATCCTTGACGTAATAATTTGTCATTGGTTAGCTCGTAAATGGCACGTGGGACTCATACAAATAGGCGAGACCTATTTTTTGAACTGACCAATGACGAGTTACCACGTCGAAGGCTATAAGAAAAGGTTATGGATTGAGTTGTAGACCTAACATTACTCTTTTCATTGCACACAACTTTTCTTACGTATAACATTGAAAAATCTCTTTCTTCCCCTGACTATGTAAACCAATGGATCGCCTTGCTCCTATTAAAAACACTAGTGTAAGCGGATTCGCTTGCAAATGATAAGGATAAAAAATTCATAATTGGGGTGATAGTAAGAGTATAGTTACAGTAACGTTGATCATTTCATTTTTTAAATCAAATCCAAATAAATCATTTTATCTAGGATTCGGTGTGGGATGCTTCACTGAAACAAAACAAAAAGGGAGGCCCGGCTGGGTACTGCCAGGCCAAGTCATGGAAATAAAAATGGCCCTGGAAACAAAATTAAAGAGATATTCTTTATTATTATTATTATTATTATTTTTATTCGAGATATCTATTTCATGAAGAGTTGACTTTATATATATATTCAACCAATCGATTTGTTATCATCTAAACTTACTTCGTCCCATTCAATTATAATATATGATTGTCTTGTTTTCAATTATCCCAATCAAGTATGGAGACAGGTTTAATCTTGTTCTCAAGTGACTTGTACAGTCCGCTCTAATATTGTTTACATTCTCTAGAAGGAAATACAGTATTACAACCATCATTAAATGGTTTGGTGGTAAAATAGTAAAATGAGATTTTATAAATTTTTGAGTTTGAGTCCACAGAGGCCCTAATAGAGGTAGTCACTGAGGAGGTTACTTGGTCGTCAACTTCAGGGTCTTATAGGATTGATTGAGGTGTACCCAAGCTAGTTCGAACACCCTCGATCGGAAGATTAGTTGAGGTGTGCGCAAATTAGTTCGGATACCACCAGTTGGGAGATTAGTTTAGGAGATTAGTTGAGATGTGCGTAAACTGGTCTAAACATCCCTAGTCGAGGGATTAATTGAAGTGCGTGTAAACTGATCCAGACACCCCTGATCAAGAAATTAGTTGAGGTTCGCGTAAAAGCACTGCCGGCTGCCTAGCTCTTATATTCTTCAACGCTATGAAAATTCCTTGCAACATATGGCACACTAAAGCTTTGTTTCATTAACTTTATTAATCATTTTCTGAATTGTTCTACGAAACTTATTCCTGCTTGAATTTTGTGCACAGCCTGCAGAGACTTAATGTTGAATCGATTCCAGGGGCTATTTAATCCTTGAATTATAACACAACAGCGTACGAAAAAACAAGAGATTGTGAGAGTAATTCTAATTGGCAAAGATGAAAGTTGACATCGTTGCAAAAGAAATTATCAAACCGTCCTCTCCAACCCCTGATAATTTAAGAAGTTTCAAGCTATCCCTTCTTGATCAGCTCGCTCCTGCAGTTTATGGACCTATGATTTTCTTCTACCCAAATGGTGACACAACTCACCATGCCTCCATTGCTGAGCATTCCCACCACCTAAAGAAATCGCTAGCCGATACGTTAACTCGCTTTTTCCCACTAGCCGGAAGAATAAAAGACAATTTCACGATTGACTGTAACGACTATGGAGTTGGTTGTGTGGAAGCACGAGTCAACTGTCTTCTGTCGGAAATTCTGGAACATCCTGACTTGGAAGCACTTAATCAGTTCTTGCCATTTGAGCTGGATTCGACTGAATCAAGCACAGACTCTCTAATACTTGTTCAATCCACCTTCTTCAATTGCGGCGGTGTTGCCATTGGGGTCGGCCTTTCGCACAAGTTAACAGATGGAGCCACGTATGGCACGTTCCTGAAGGGCTGGTCCGCCACAGCTCTTGGCGTAGGCGATACCGTGGTTCCATTATTCAATGCATCATCCTTGTTCCCGCCGAGGAATTTATCTACCATGACTTCTATGGCACTTAACTTCTCGAAAGAGAAGTGTGTTTTACGGAGATTAGTTTTCGCTGCGCCAAAGATTGATGCTCTTAAGGCCATAACTGCCAGTCCAGGCGTGCAAAATCCAACACGAGCCGAAGCTGTGACCGCACTCATTTGGAAATGTGCTTTGAACGCTGCAAGATCAAACTCAAGGATTTTGAGGCCATCTCTCTTGTCCCAATCTGTGAATTTACGTAGACAGATTGTACCACCGTTGCCTGAAAACACTATCGGTAACCTCGGCGCTCACATTTCAGCCCACAAGGACGAGAGTGAGATAGAATTACAAGGGTTGGTTCGTGAGATTAGAAGAGGAAAACAAGATTTCAGTAAGAAGTATGTGAAGAAACTTCAAGACGACGCATTCAAGGCGATTACGGAGACATTCAAAGAGGCAGTGAGCATGTTTAAAAGCCGTGACATAGAATTCTACAAACTAACAAATATGTGTAATTTCCCATTTTATGAAATTGATTTTGGGTGGGGAAAGCCAACGTGGGTGACTATTCCAGGCGTGACTCTGAAGAATCTGGTGAAGCTGATGGACTCTAGAGAAGGCGATGGATCAATAGAGGCTTTGGTGATTCTGAGTGAAAAGGACATGACATTATTTGAACGTGACAAGGACCTTCTTGCTTATGCTTCTTTGAATCCAAGTATCTTGGAGCTCAACCCAATGAGGCCAATGACACCTTTATTAACATCTTCCTTGTAAATTTTAATTCTAATAGGCTATCGACCAGATTAGGATCATTATCAACGTATCCAAAAGAATCGATATCCCCCCTGTTTGGTACACTTTAATTCTAATAAAAAATTATTGTAAATTGTGAGCATGTAATTGTAAAAATTACAAATTAAAGTAAACAGTATGGATATCCATGAGTCCACCCATGCCCGCATAGGGTAGGGTCCAGATCTAGTTTTTGGACCCATATTGTTGGGCTCGAGCCATACCTAGTCCATCCGCACGTTTTGCCAGGTCTATCCATGACACTATGTAAGACTTATACTAAATTAATCTTTAATTAGGCAATTCGTTTCTCTTTAATTAATAACATGGGTCGATTATTAAATTTAAAATCTAATACTATAGTCAATGGTTATGTACCACACTCAAAAGAAAGCAACATAATAAAATAATAATATATATAATTTTTTTTCCAAATTCTAAATCAAATCTTATCCTCTTTTTGATTATGGGTTTTATTTGGTCAACTTTAATGGACAGATGGGATAATCCAATTTGTTTCTCTGTTACATCTACAATTTTTTTCTTAAAGCAGTTTCTCAAATTTCAAAGGTGAATTATTGTCAAAAGATATTGTTTTAAAATTTTCACATGTGATTTGTGTTATTAATTTGTACTTTGAAAATCTAACTTGGGCTTTAAAGGTAATTTGGTCAGAACAGGTGTCTGGTAAAGTTGTACTTTTGTGACCAAAGT